CCCGTGAGAGCCCCTGAGAAAGCAAAATAAAGAGATGCACAGTGGCTGAGCCAGGGCGCTGCACTCAGCTAACCAAAGGAAATTGTCCCATACTTTGCAGCACAATGAAATGTGACTGTGACAGATCTGTCTCTCTATTTGAAACAACAATACACAAATAAAGCAGAAAAAACTTCCAGGGGCATCGTGAGGTGGTCACATAGATGCATGGAAATAGGCATAAAAAACACGCATGCTCTGTAGAGGTGCACAGGAAGGGCAGATGGATGGAGAATCATCCTCAAATGAAGGGATTCGAGGCCTCAGATAAATGAGAGGGATGAGCAGGTGTCTGTTTATGCCTCAAATAACAAGGCATTAAACATGCTGATTTGCCTTTTTATGTCAATCTTTTTTGTCCTTTTACTCTTTGCTCATAATACTGCTTCACAGTGAGCTACTGTCAAGAGAGGAGACCCAGAAGGTCAAGATCTCAGCAGCTTAACTGCATTCTCAAACTGCATAAAAATAACTAGGAACTTATTAAAATGCAGGTTCTGAGGCCCCAGATCTGACTGATTAACTCAGAATCTCTGGATGTGGGATGTGAGAATCAGGATTTTTATCATGGTTCCTGGTTGAGAAACACTGATATGAACAGATCATATCCCACTTGGACTGATTTGCTTATGGGAAATGATAGTAATTCAAAACTTTGCAAAATGTATGTAGCCATTTATTGAATTTATTTTAAGATTATTTGCAAAAACTGGATAATTAAATAATATTGAAGTAATCATCCAAAATCTCTGGGCTGTTGGAAGGAATCAGTAAAGTTGTATGTGTAGGTGAAGTGCCTAGAATGCTGTCTGGTGCCAAGTAAATCCTCAGTAAATCGCTCAAAACTTAACGTTAAGGGGAAAGTTATGATGTAACAGCAAGAATATAAACACTGAAATTAGATGCATATGTGTGCAGTTACAAGAGGAGTGCGTGTGCTTTACATCACTTGCATAGGGCAGTCAGTTTGGCAATGCCATTGTCATTATTGCCACAGTTATGTTATAATTCTTCCCTTCAATTCCCTCTGCAACAATCCAATTTAAAGTCTTACCATCTCTCTCTTGGTCCCTTGCCATGACCTCATTTGCCCCGACCTGCCTCCTATTCCTTTCTAGGCTTTGGAGTTCTACACATGCTTAACTAAGGGGTTTGTGCAAAATGCTAAGCTAACCTAAACTCTCCCTATGGCATTTGTCATAATCCTCATTTGTTCTGACACTTCATCTTTGTATCGAGGATGAAGACTGATCATTGCAGTAAAAAATATGGACTTACCTACCTCTTTGAATATTTACACACCTGATCTTCAGCTTCAGCTACTTGTCCTCTGACAGTGCAGTCTTGCAGCTGCAAGTTTGGATCAGATAACCTTGACTTCCAAAATAAAGGCCCCCTTTCTTTCCAAGACCACCTCATTCTTCAAGGTCTTCCTCAGCTTGACTTTCCTCTGAAGCTGTCCCAGGATCAAACCATCCTTGCCTTCTCCTTTTATTGGCCATCAATCTGTAATGGATCTGCATGACAGATATTTAATTTTTTTAAGTAAACTACCCTCTTTTTCATTGCTTTCCTGTTTCCTTTTACAACTGTCCCCTATCTGTGATAACAGGGCCTGTCTCTTTTTTTTTTT